CAAACAAAGTGGTAGGGAATTAACAATGGTGGTTGTATTACATATTGATATCTTCAAAGTGGCTTCTCATGAAAACAGATATAGACATGCAATACCGGTCAACCAAAGACTCACTGACAGTTTCTTTCAGCATAGAAATAGAAGACAGAGGAACAACCATGTTAACTATCCTGTATATACATACATACAAAATTTCTCCTTCTTTCCCTTCTCCTTTCCCACATCCCAGTTGCCCTTTACTCTTGAGTGGTTTCCTATCATTTCACAGTGGATATGACATTTTTCAAGAAGCCACACTCTTAAATCCATCAGTTCACCATAAGTTACCCTAAGGTGGAGGTAGTCTACAAAAAGCATTCTATAGATAAAAGGATTTTCCTATAAATATGTTATATTGAAGCAAAATAACATATTTGCCAGGGAGTTCAGTTATCAAATGTTTGCAACACTGAATCATCTGTCTTCTCTCTTTCTCTAGAAGCAGCTTGAGCCTTCATCTCCATCCAGTAATGGAAGAAAAAATGGATCGCAGACTAGCTGCTTTTCGTGCCTAATAGGTACATGGCAAATAAAAAGCAAATAGGCCCCATACATATACATCTCCCACAGCACTGCCAGATCTCCATGGGAAAGGGGAAAAAAAACCCATAAGCTTATTTTTGTTCCATATGTAACCATAGGCAGAGTGATGGATAAGAGACCTGTTCAAATTTTGCTCTAGAGATTCTTTAGTTATAATGATAGAATCTTTGAAAATTAATGGCATTAGCCTTTTATTCTCTTCTAACATCATCACTGTGGCTACAGTTTTCTATTTTGACACTGCTTTTACTGTATCCCACAAAGTTTGATTTGATGTATTTTTATTGTCATTTACTTCAAAATATTTTAAGATTTCTCTGTGATTTTTTTCTTTGACCCCTAAATTTCTTTGAAGTTTGTGTAATAATTTCCAAATGTTTGAAATTTTACTGGCTATCATGTTATTAATCTAATTTAAAGTTTCAACATTTTGAAATTTATTGAAATCTTGCACAACTTGTAGTCTATCTTGATGAATATTCCACGTTCAGTTGAAAAGAATAGATACTCTATAGTTTTAGGGTCTAGAATTCTGTATATGTCTATTAGAAAGTGAATGATAGTGCTGTTCGGGTATTCTATGTTTCTACTTTGCTTGTTTGTTCTATGGTTTCTTAAGAGACAGGTATTAAAATGTCCAGCCATAGTTGTAGAATTTGATCATTGTCTCTTCAATTCTTCAATTCTTCACATTCAGCTTTTTTATGATTTCCTACTGAACCCACTCCTTTACCATTATGAAATATTTTTCTTTACCTCTGGAAATATTCTTTGTCTTAAAGTCTATTTTATTTAATATTTTAATATTCACACCAACTTCCTTTGAGTTGGTGTGGGGGTGGTACAATTTCTGCCATCTGTTCACTTTCAATCTATATGTGTCTTTGTATTTAAAATTTGTTTCTTATATAGTGTATATAGTTTGGATTTTCCTTTTTACTCATTAGGGCAACTCTACCTTTTAGTTATAACTGATTTAATTATTTGTATGATTAAGCTGATAACTACCATCTTATTGTCTTCTGTTTGCCCCATTTATTCTTTGTTCTTTTTTTACCTCTTTGCTTTTTGGGTTAATTAAATTTTTTAAAAGTTGCATTTGAATTTCTCTATTTTTGACTTGTTAGTTATACCTCTGTGTTTTTTAGTGGTTCCTCTAGCGGTGGAACATATTTATTGTAGAACATATTCCTCCTTGACTTTTCATAATTTACTTATGCTTAATATACTAGGTCACTGCTCATAAAATGTAAGAAACATCCAGCCACGGAGGTCCATTTACTGTATTGCTTTCTTTTTTAAATTTATCCACACAAGCCGGGCAGAGTGGCACATGCCTATAAGTACTCTGGAAGATGAGGCAGACAGATTGCCACAAGTTTGAGGTCAGTCTGGGCTACATAGTTAAGTTCAAATACACATTTTGAGATCTTGTTTAAAAAAGCAAACAAAAAAATTTATCCAGATATTTAGTGTTTCTTCATGCCATTCTACAGTTCAAGTTTCCATATGGTGTTATTTCCCGTCCCAGTGAAGAATGTGCAGTAGCACATTTTATGCTTTTTGTGAGAAATTCTTTCTGTATTTATTTGGTAAAAATGCCTCCCATTCAACATTGTTCTTCTAAAAATTATGAATACATAATTTTTTGAAAATTTTTAAGTTAATAAAATGATATAAAGTACAGTTCTTGCATACCCCTGCCACCCACAAAAATTTTTTTGCTTACTATTTTCATCTTCTACTGATGTAGTATTTTTGGTATAAGTGATAAAGAACTGTTTGTAGCCGGGGTATAGCTCAGTGGCACAGTGCCTGTCTGGCAAGCGTGAGGTCCTGAGTTTAATTACCAGTACAAAAAAAGAAAAAGGAAAAAACTGTTTATATATTATTAGCTAATTACATAGAGGTTAGAATAAAGTCCAAAGTTTACATTAAGGTTTACTCTGTGTACTATGTTAATGGGTTTTGATATATCGTACACCAACATGTATTCACCATTACTATATCATTGAATAGTCTCATGTCTCAAAATCCACTGAGCTATGATTGCTTATTCGTTCTAAGAAGCTTTTTTAATCGTTCTTTTAGATTTTCTGCATAGACAATCAAAACATCCCTGCAAGGATGACAGTATTATTCCAATTGACCAGCTGAGGGCTTGAAGTTAGCAAGTAGGATTGACAAATTCTGCAAATGGAAATGCAGGATACCCAGTTACTTTTGAATTCCAGACAAATAACAAATAATTTTCAGTATAAGTATGTCCCAAATGAAAATTGTGCATCATTTAACTAGGTGTTGTTTATTTCATCAAGGGGATTTTTTTAAAAAATTCATCTTATTGGTACACTTTTGATACACAAAATAATCACATTCATCATATGGAATTTGTACATGCACATAATATACTGTGATTCTTCTTTTTACCCCATTCCTCTCCTTTCTTTTCAACCCTTCTTTCCCTCCTTATTTAAATGAGTTTTGCTTCCATTTTTCCTTCTATTCTGTTTTTTTCCTTTTCCTCTTTTCCTGTCCCACTCTTTCCCTTATTTCCCTTCCCATTTGAACATTTCTGAGAAATCAAATTCAAGATGATTTTATTGACAATTTAGCAAGATGTCCTGATGTAAGCTATAAGGGAGGGAAATAACTAGCTTATGGAGCTGAGAGTGAAACCAAAATCTGTCTTTTGGTCTTGTCTCCTTTCACCTCAGCAGCTCCCTCTCAGGATGGACACTGAGAAAGAATATACTGAATTAAAATGAAAAATGGACCAAGCAATGAAAAGGCAAAGAGCAGTATAAACAATCACACAGTAAAAAGCACAACAGAATAAAGCTTCTTGCTTCAATGACATATTAAGCTTGTATATAAGTCAAGACTACATAATGTCACATACATCTTTGGAAAAGAAACCTTTGCATTCTTCAGTAAGTGGCAGGACAAAGCCAAGCAGCACATGAATGTCAGCTGACCTTATGTTTTGGAATACTTTAGGTCTACTTCCTTATGAGTATGTTTTGTATTTCACAGTCTCTTTCACTATGTTTATTTCCATTTATGAGTCAGACAAAAATGCAGTCATTTACTGAAGCTTTGCTTTAGAATCCCACAAGCTGTCCAGACAAGGCTTTCTCAAGTATGACTCTAAGAATACAACCATTTCAGGGGCAATCTATTAGATTCTCACTGTGACCTACCTTCATATTTAAAAGGAACCCTTCTGGGATATCACAGGTCTGAGAAAGGTATGGCTTTCCTGGAGAATGTCTCAGTGAATAACATGACAGTGACAATAGTGTCAACTGTGAAAGTCACAGGGATCAAACTTTTTTGAACACTCAAACAGCAACTTTGAAGAATGTACAGTTCTTTTCACTCCTCGATGAAATTGTCCTGCTTTCAATTCTCCAAGCTAGACACTCGGTGGATGGTTGCCTGGGTGACAGCCTGTAAACTAAGCCGTCTCCTTGCAGCTAACGAAAGGGTTTGTGTATGCAGAACCAGTTTTAATTTAAAAAAGAGAAACTATTGGGACTGTGCAACACTGGAAAATAATCAAAGGAAAAAAATCTAAATCTATCCTGCTTTTAAATGGATTCCCTAGTTGAAGTGTGGGTTGATAGCTGGCCCAGAAATCAGTGCCACAATGAATTAAGATGATGTTGGCTGCTGTTTGGCTTGGTGTTCAACTGTGTACCAGTTCCCTCAGCAAAACTCACCATAGGTAAGCCCAATCTCCACTTTTCAACCTGTTTCAGATAATACAATATATTGCAACTTTTTTTCTCCCCAAAGGATGTCCTGGAGGAAGAACATCAGGTAAACTGATGGAGGAAAGTGTGTCCTTCTCTCAAGTAATTATATCCTTAGAGTTGTTGTAATAAGCTGGTTTTGACTCTTAAAATATTGTGATAATCCATGCTAATACTTTGTGTAAATACCTCTAGACCATAGACTAAACTAGTATATACAAGAAAGGTATGTAAAAGCACTTGCTTCTGTCGAATTATATACAGAGAAAATCCTATACTTTAATCACCTAAATATTTGGGAACTCTAAGGGTATAAGTCTTACAGCCACTCAGTGTTATATACATGCTACCTGGACACATTTTATTAACATAAAATGAAATTCTTTTTACTTTAATTCTTTATTACATCAGATTCTAAAGCAAATGTACAACATAGTAAAAAGTTTGGGCTTTACAGGTAGATCATGTGTGCAATCAAAGGTTAAAAACAGCTGGGCTTCAGTAAAGCTTTGAGGAATGAAACATTTAAAAAATCACTGCTAACAACATTTCTAAATGGAGAATTAAGAGGTTTCGTCTGAAGAAACGTAGAATGGAAATGCACAGATTGGAGATCAGAAGAGAAAATGGAGCTCACTAATGAAAAATAACAGGGTCTGTCCAAGTTAGTTGAGAGTGACTTGTATTGGGATACTGTTGTGCGTTCATTAAATATGCATTGTCTTTTTCCAGCCACTGCTAAGTGTGTGAGACTTGGGGTGACCAAATAATGACCACATGGCCCCTGTTGTTGTGATTTGATTTGATGCTGTTGGAACTTCAGTTTTGTTAAATCAAAATTTCTGTTTTCTATGATAGATGGTAGATACTGCTTGTGAAATGCTTTGTATTAAGGGTCACATGAAAGAGTTAAACCATAAACCCCATAACATACATGGCTAGGTAATGACCTTAGAAAAAATATCTTTGAGGTTTTATTTCTATTTTATGAATGAACTGATTATATAAATGTCTTTTTCTTGCATAGCTGTTTATTCAAAGATTTGGTGTTTGGCTTTATTGTAGGACAAGTTTTAATTATCCTTTGTTACTGAAATTGTTTCTTTTATCTGAAATGACACTGCAAACACTGTTGGTCTTTCCAAACAGCTATGTAGATTAATCCAAGTTACAAAGCAATGTGCAGGGACAGTATGTTTGCTGGTATGAAAATTTTCTATGGCCTAATTTTGAGCATATGGTCTGCTCTTTCCACCCTTAGTAAAGTTCCAAGTATACATCATGTATTAAATGCTAATGATTAGTATGGTGATTAAGTGATAGCAATCAAACAAATGTCTGCTTAGAAGAGATTAAAGAAAACAGGCACTGTTGGTGAGAGTGATAAAGCAGTTCCTAGAGAATGATCTGGCAGTATTTGGTGACATCAAATACCCCTTTACTCTTAACTCAAAATGAATAACAGGTAGTAGTGATAAGTGTCAATTAGAAAATAAAGAGGACTGCAAAAAAGATTACATGTTGAATTACAGTCACTGGGTCAGTGTTTCCAGGAGATGCCTGATAACAGGAATCACCTGAGTGTTTGATTAAAGGCAAAAAGGAGAGCTGGGGATTTAGCTCAGTGGCGCAGCACCTGCCTGGCAAGCACAAGGTCATGAGTTCGATTTCCGGTACTGGAAAAACAAAAACAAAAACAAAAAAGGGAAAAAGGAGCCTCCACAGCAGTGCTGTTGAACCTATGGCACATATGCCGCAGAGGGCTGTTTGTATCATTGAAAGTGCTGAATGGTTCACTATCACTGCTCTAGAGAAAGTAAAAACCTCACTGGTAGCTGGGTGCAGTGCCACACGCCTGAGTCCCAGACCCTCAGACTGCTGAGGCAGAAGGATTGCGAGTTCAAGGCCAACCTGGGTTAATTTAGCGGAGCCCATTTCAAAGTGAAAACTGAAAAAGGGCTGAAGATGTAGCTTAGTCAGACAGTGCACAGAGGTTAGCACACACAAAGCTCTGAGTTCGAGTCCTCTCCCAGAAAAAAAGATAACTGGTTGCCAGTGGTCAGCAGGAGAGGAAAAGGAATAGGCTGAGAACAGAGGATTTTTAGGGCTATAATAAAGCTATTTTCATTCACACGTCATTATGCATTCATTCAAACTCTTAGAATATACAATACCAAGAGAGAAGCCCAAGGTAAAATATGGATTTGGGTGATAGCACCGCATCTGTAGGGTCTTCAGGTAATGAACATGGCATTCTGATGCAGGCTGGTGACAGTGGGGCAGCCGTGGGGGCACAAGGCGAAGGAGCAGGATGCCTTTCTGCTCACTTCTGTGCTAACCTAAAATTGTTTCAAGGAGTAAAGTCTATTTTAAATACGTATTAAAAATTTAAAGTTTTTTTTTAAATGAGCCTCCCTAGCCTCAACCTGGACCTACTTTAACCGAACCTAGGAATATTTATAACAAGGAGACATATAATTTGCATAAGGAACTTTAGGAAATTGTGCTGAGCTAAGGCCACCCTTTCTCTGAAAACCCAGGAGACAACATGCCACATGGGCTCACTGCTGCCCTCATCTCTGCCGTCGGCGGAAGGAATAACCCCTCTTCCCTCCTGCCCCAGGCCCTCCCTCTTGCCAGTCCCCAACCTCTTGGATTTGCTTTTCATTTTCTATGGCCTGTCAATCGCAAATCTTTTGCTCTTAAATTTTTGTTTCTGCCTCTTTACTTCCTGTCATACTAATCTTCATAAAGAACCAGGATTCCTGAAAGGCACTGCTCACTCTCCATGGTCTTCCCAGCCTGCTGGGGAATGCAGTGTAAGCGTCCATCTGATTCTTCTCTCTCTTGCTTGGCCGTAGGAATAGATGGATCTTGGCTGGGGCTCATCCCCCAGTCAGAACTGCACTCTCCCCTTCACTCTGAATCTCAAATATCACTGAAGCTTTCTCTCAGGGAGTGTTCCAGCCCACATTGTCATCCCATTCCTCTAAAGTCTGTCAGGTCCAGTATCTGGTGCTTGCAATGACAATCTTGCATTTTGCTTTTTTGTTTTAAAAATTCCTCCATTTAAAAAAAATTTCCTCCTATTTTATTTTTTGAGATAGGGTCTCAGTATGTAGTTCAGGCTGGATTTGAACTCACTACATAGCCCAGGCTGGCCTTGAAGTACAGCAACTCTCTTGACTCAGACTCCCCAGTAAGTACCAGGATTACAGGTGTGTACCACCATACCTGGCCAGTCTTGTATCTTGTTTCTTTTATTTTGCCTGAACTAATTTATTTTCCTTCTAACAGCTCAATGAAAGCTCCTGAAGGGCATATAGATCTTCTTCATGAATGAATGAATAAATTCACGGAATGGTATTATTTCTGAAATGAAGAACATCTAACACATTTTTTTAAAGAAAGAAGGCTGTATTTAGTCTGGCCTTTGAATTAGAAAGGAACTTGTATGTTTAGAACATTGAAGACCAGTTTTAAGCTTTTTCTTGTTTTTCTTAGCTTTTCTCCACAAAACTGTGCTATGAAATGAGCCCCTTGTTCTTTTGCTTCCAACCAAATGCCAGATCACTGCAAGTAAACCACCCCTTCCATGAATACCATGTGTCCACACACTGACCATTGTGTTGGAAGCAAAAGCTGGAGTGTATAGTCTAACAAAGGGCTCATATTATTTCTAATAGCAAGGAATGCCATGGGAAGGGTGTAGCTTTGGTAGATTGTAATTGCAATTTAAAAGATTTTTCTATGATTTGGGAAACTGACATGGGATATTTAGAACTTTTCTGGAAAAGGTAGAATGGTGGCTGCTATGCTGTCAATGCTATAATTATGGAAAATACAAAAGAATAGGGCATGAAATGCCCCTGGTATTAAGGAGTTTATGGTGGCTGGGGATATAGCTTAGTGGCACAAGTGCCTGCCTGGCAAGCGCAAGGTCCCAAGTTCGATTCCCAGTACAAAAAAAAAAGAAGGAGTTTATGGTATAATTGAGAAGATAGGAACCCCATAAGGAGAATAATTATAAGGAGGAAAATAAACCACACTAAACAAGTAAAATCCACAGTGATACACACCTGTAATCCGAACACTCGGGAGGCTGAGGCAGGATGATTACCTTAAGTTCGAGGCCAGTCTGAGCTACATAGTAAATTCAGGGCCAGTCTGATCTTCACAGCAAGACCCTGTCTCAAAAAACAAAGAAGTAAACTCTAACAAGAATGTTCCCTTACAGAATGTGTGAATGCTTTGTAGACAGTATTTCAGACCCTTGCCAACCTTTCAAAGAGGGGCTATCATTTCCCTTTTTGAGATGAGCTCAGAGGAGAGGAGCAACAGGCCCAAGGACACACAGTCAGTACTCTGTGGAGAATCTGAATCAAGATTCTGTCAGACTACCAAGCCTGCTCTCTTTCCATTCTGATGTTGGTTTATCCTTTCTTCTGTACCACAGCAGATCTTCCAAAGTAATGATAAAGTCACTATTGTTTCAAATTTAAAACATGTGCAAAGAACCAAGCCTAGTGGAAAAGTAGGATTGTCTTCCTTTTAAAAACTATTATAGCTGGGCGTGGTGTTGCATGCCTGTAATCCCAGCACTTGGGAGGCTGAAGCAGGAGGATCATGGCAATTTTGAGACCAGCCTGGGCTACAAAGTGAGTTCAAGTCCAGCGTAAACTGCATAGTGAGACCCTGTCTCAAAAAGACAAAAAAAATAAAATAAAATAAAAACAATTACAGTATTTTTACATCTAAGTATTTTTACATCAACTAGTGTTGATGAAGGCAGAATACATCTGGACCACCTATTGTTTTACTGGCTGTCATATAATTAGTTTCGTTTCTCTTGAAGGCAATCGCATGGGACTAGCAAGATGAATAAAAATAAACTGATTCATGATTTCCTGGAAGTTGTCTCAAGAGGTGATGTTGAACTCATCTGTGACCACATGACTAAAGTCCATTCCATCCTTGGAAGCCTTGACTTTCAGCATCCAGAGACTGGGAATACGCCTCTCATTATTGCAGCAGAAGAAAACCTACCAGAGGTACAGGCGGAAGGGAAAAGGCTGGGAGTCCACTCCAATAAGGGAGGGATATTTACTTTTGGTTTTCAGATTTACATTCAGAGGCTTCTTGTTTTCAAACAATGAACCTTCAATGTTTTCAGTCCACCCAAAGCCCTGTGTCAGGTGAAAGGGTCGTTACGTATTACTAACACTGCCTAGTTTAGTATTCGGGACTGTTCAACTTGGTGGTCACAGTTACGTCACTTTCTGGCTGGAGTTGTGGGATTTGCTGTCGGTGTTTAACACAGGCTTGATTTGGCTTCTTTCTTGTTTAAAAGAAGCCTCCTTCACTTCAGGTCATTTGCTGCCCTGTTATCATGACATCTTTCAAATTTTACCGTTTTTAACATAAGGTCTCGGAAAGTTTTGCAAGGTAATGGGGCTAATTACAAGAATTTATCTAGATTTCTTTGATTCAGTTTCTCACTCTCCAGTGGGTGCCTTTCCCGAATATTGCAAACCTAATGTAAGCTAGGAAGAGCCTGAACACTGGTCTGGGGTTCTCATGAGAATGAGTCTGTCTCAGTGAAAGTGAACCGAATAGGTCCAAAGTTCCCGTGGGGCAGCCAAAATCCACCACAAAAAAATCCTGCCACTTCCCGTCACCCTTGAATGGATCTAAGGTTGTGATCAGGAAGGGCTCAGCTATAGGTAGCTCTTTCCGCTCTTCCTTAACAAGCACGGTGCACACCATCCCATCTCCCAAGCGAACCAACCAAAGCTCACGGTTTCTGTCCACATCAGTCGTCATGACTTTTCTTCCCTTCATTCTTTTTTCTTTTTCACCCTTCAGTGAAGACGCACAGTGCTGTGACTGTTGCCTGAAAGGGGGTAGAATCTTTCGCCCACCCAGGGTGGCTCTTGATACCATTTGTTACCATGGCATGGATCTGAGGCAAACCGCCAGCTTAGTGAGGGACACAGCACCCACAGGAAAGTTAGCAAAGCATAGAACAGTGAGTAGCTGTCTTTGAACTTACTTCCTGACACTCAGCTTGCATCCACCTCCCAGCTCCTCCTCATTAACAGTTAAGAAAGTAGAGGATCATTTCTTGCCCAACTGACCTACTGTTTGGTCAAATGCTTGCTGATATTTTCTAATGAACGAACTTTCTTTCTTTTTTTTTTTTTTTTTTTTGTCTTTTAGAGACAGGTCTTGCTATGCAGTTCAGGCTGGCCCAGAGCTCACTTTGTAGCCCAGACTGGCCTTGAACTTGCAATGATCCTCCTGCCTCAGCCTCCTGAGTGCTGGGATTACAGGTGTGCGCCACCATGCCCAGGAAGAACTTTCTTTAAATCCCATTAATTAAGCCATGAAACCTACATTCTCGTTCCTGTCTGTCTTATCATCTCTCTTTTTTTTTTTTTTGTAAAATTATTAACCATGGAACATCTACAAACTTACTTGCTAGCTAACAAGTGAGACTGCCACAGGTTCGTAGACTCCTGCGCCAAAGGAAAGTAACAGCTTACTCTCTTTATGTCTAGTAAGAGGAAGACTATCAGAATTTCCTTCAGTTTTCCATGCCCGTTTCCTCAGGCAATATGAAGAGGGCCGGGTGATACAGTGAGTATATTACAAGAGAGAAACTATGCGCCCTAGAGAAACTAGGAAACCCTAACCTTTTACAATGGATGGTACAAATGTCTTTCCATTGCTCCAGAGGGAGACACTATTTCTGTTTTCTAAGGCTGTTCACTATGCAAATATCTTTGAGCAGCGGGGCGTGGTGGCACATGCCTGTAATCCCAGCATTCAGGAGGCTGAGGCAGGAGGATTGTTGCAAGTTCGAGACCAGTCTGGGCTACAAAGTGAGCTCAAGGCCAGCCTGAACTGCATAGCGAGACCCTGTCTCAAAGACAAAAAAAAAAAACTTTGAAAACAGTGTAGTACCAAGGTAGTTGAGGCCCCTTCTCTGCCCACAGGACTGCAGTGAGCCATGGAGGATGTCTTCCAATAGCCTCTCTAAAGAATGATCTAGCTGGGGGTGGTGGTGCACACCTGTAATCCCAGCACTTGGGAGGCTGAGGCAGGAGGATCATTGTGAGTTTGAGGCCAGCCTGGGCTATGAAGTGAGCTCAAGGCCTGCCTGAACTGCATAGTGAGACACTATGTCTCAAACAGACAAAAAAAAATAATAATAAAAATTAAAAAAGAATGATCTACTGATTTATCCTCATTGCCTCTGCTTCCTCCCCTCTGAGAACTACTATAGTCTAGCATCTGTCCCTACTACTTCATTGAAACTGCTTTTGCCAATATCATCTACAATATCCTTGGTTACTTTCAGCTCTTAGTAGCTCATGACACCAATTTTTCTTAAAATGTTTTCTTCCATTTGCTCTCTTCTGGTTTTCCTCCCTACTTCTGTGGTAATTTCTACCCAGTCTCCTTTATGGATTCTTCTCTCAAATGCTTAAATCCCTTGGTAACAAGGAGATGACTCATAATTTGGTAACTCAAGCCCACATCTCTCACCGGCTTTCCTGATACTGTAATATCTTGAGCTTCCACCTGAATATCTCTACTTCTTTAGTACAGAGGGCTCAAATAGAGCCTGCCCCAAAGTGTCCTCCTCACTTGCTTCCTAAATCTAATCCTTTTAGAAACAACTGCATCAGCATTACCTTTCTTATTAAATAGCATCACCATCTATTTCTCTGAATCCATTCACCCACGCACTAATAACATTTTTATTTGTGTGATAAGGTGTCTTGCCCATAAACTTGCATCCTAATGAAAACAAAGCAGGACAAAGAAGGAAACCAGAGGCATTTTTAAAAATTACAATTTTTTGTTAGTGGTTTGAATTAACCAAGAGAGCAGCTATTTTCAAGAGGTGATCAGGAAGGTTTTCAGTGATATGGCTTTATTTTATTTATCTATTTATTTATGCATTCATTCTACAGGCTAGTGAGTTTCATTTTGGTGTATTTGTACGTGTGGCTACATTTATGCTAAAACATAAATAATGAAAAAGGATGACATTTGAGGAGCAGTTGGGACAGAGAAAAGAACAAGAACAAGGATTCTTGGTTGGATAAAAGACCCTGCGAGGTCCCTGTGAGCCACAAAAGGGTGGCTAGAGGTTTCAGGGGAGAGGGAGTCACATGAGATGAGGCCAGAAAGACAGGCAGGGACCAGATCGTGCAGAGGCACGAGGGCATGCAAAGGCATTTTTAAAAGTAGCTCAACTGAAATATACTTCATATACCATACAATTTACCCACTTTGAAGCATATAATTTAATGAATTTTAATATATTCATATGAATGTGCAATAATTACCACAGTCAGTTTTAGAACATTTGCATCACCTGAAGAACTCCATCCCCACCAAAAAGAAAACCCCCAATACCTTTTAAATATCCCTCCCTATCATTTCTCCCAAATCTCCACCCCATCCCTAAGCAGCCACTAACCTAATTTCTGTCTCTATAACTTTTCTTGTTTTGCACTTATGCATAAATGGAATTGTACAATACATGATCCTTTGTGGCTTTCTTTCACTTAACATACGGCTTACAAGGTTTATCCATGTTGTAGCATGTATCATACTTCATTCCATTTCATAGTCAAGTACTAGTCCATTGTATGGAATCATCCAGTAATGGTAAAGGTGCAGTCATCCACCGATGACAATTCGGATCGCTTTCACCTCCTGATTACCATGAATTACTATGAATAGTGCTGCTATAAACATTAGTGTACTGCTTTTGGTGCAGATAAACGTTCAACCTAAATAGAAATCCTGCATTATGCGGAAACCTTATATTTAATCATTTGAGGAACTGCTAGACAGTATTTCAAAGTGGCCGCACCATTTACATTTTCACCAGCAGAAAGAGTGATATGAAGATTCCAATGCTTACTATAGTCTGAATTTATTCTAGCTTTCCCAGCGACTACATGCAAAGGCATTTGGAAATGAAAGACAGCTTCAGACAAGGGCATGATGGTCTAGTCTGCCGTGGCAGCAGAGAAGGTAGATAAAAGGGAACAGAAACCTGAGCTTGATTTCTGGCTTATTATTAGTTCCAGTGTCAGACAATATTCATATCTTGTTAATTCTACCTCCTGAACCCTCCTGGACTGTGTCCGCAGACGCTGTGTTCCCACTTCCACCTCCCTTACTCCACCGTCACCATCTTTCCCTGGGCTCTTCCGCGGGCGCTCCGTCTTCCCCACGGCAATCTCTTCCAGCTGGCAGAGTGATTTTCTAGGACCCTGATGGGATCACATCATTTCTCTGATTAAATTCTTTCATTGGCTTCCCATGGCCCTCAACACACAGACCTAACTCCTCACAGGGCTTTGTAAGGCTCTTTAGGATTTGGGTATTGCTGACTTCACCACATCTCTCCTTCCTTCCTACCTTCCTTCCTTCTTCCCCTCTTCCCCTCCTTCCCTCCTTCCTTCCTTCCTGTCCTCTGTCCTCAGCTCTATCCACGTGTAACTCATAGAACTTTGAATATTACTTTCCCTCTCGTCCACAGTCTTTTATTCACACAGTGTCCTTTTGCCTGGGTAAATTAATCTAATTACTAGTGTCTCAACTTAGACTACTTTTTCCAAAAGTCTTTCTTAATAGGTTTCTTCTAAGCACAGCCTCCTGTGTCTGCATCTCTGTCATTACCTTTATCACACCATGCTGCAACTCCCATTTCATCTTTCTCTATTCCTGAACGGGATGAAAATGCCTTAACGGTTGGCTTTTTGTCCTGGTCACTGTTGAAAGCCCAGCATCAAGCTCAGTTCTTGGCATACAATGGGTACTAAATCTATGTCTGCTGAATAAATGGCCAATACACCATTTTATATGTAGTCTACATTCCCTCTAGAAACACCTGCAGAAATATTTGTGACATTAATGAATGTATAGACCTGAATCTTTGGGTTTAAAAGATTAGGGTTAAAGGGATGCTTATTTTGACCTTTGGGTCGGTGGCTAGGTGGTAAGAAGGGCAAAGACTGCGTATGAGTCTTTCATTTTATAAAACTTTAATGTTATGTGGCTTTAACACAAAATACTCAGAGATCTTTAGTCTAAAAAATATACCCCCAAATCACTCATATCAAAGAAATTTTTGTTTCCCATATTTACAAATGCAAATAGCAGTCACTTGCATCTAAATTTCTTCCTCCTTCCTTCCTTCCTTCCTTCCTTCCTTCCTTCCTTCCTTCCTTCTTTCCTTCCTTTATCTTTCCTTCCATCCTTTATCTTTCCTTCCTTTCTTCCAAGGGCATCACACATGCTAGATAAGTGCTCTGCTACTGAGCTACACGCATCTACAACCCTCCATTTAATTCTTTTTTTTTTTCTTTTTTTGTCTTTTTGAGTCTTGGTATGCAGTTCAGGCTGGCCTTGAGCTCACTTTGTAGCCCAGGCTGGTCTCGAACTCCCAAAGATCCTCCTGCCTCAGCCTCCTGAGTGCTGGGATTACAGGTGTGTGCCACCACACCCAATTCCTCCATTTAATTCTTTTCTCATTCTCTTTTCCTATAGCATCAGTCAGACTCATACTTAAATCTGTTTTCTACCCAGCTCTGAAGGTATAGTTGGTACTCAAAAATATTAAATTAAAATGCTATTGCTTTGCAGGTTGTTAGATTTCTTCTGGAAAAGGGAGCAGATATCACCCTTTGCAATTACAGCAATCAAACTGCAGTGCATGTAGCTAACTGTGATATTCAAAGACAACTCTTGGCAGTAAATGGAATCAAGGCTCCCCAAATGCAACTTCTACAAAGTTCATGGCAAGGTGATCTCGAACAACTTCAGTGCTTACTGGTTAGTTATAGTGACACTTACTTTGGCCTCTGGATAGATGGGCAGGTGGTAAGAAGGGCAAAGATTACATATGTGTCTTTTATTTTAAAAAGTTATTTTTAAATGCAACCCTAGAAAGTTTCAGAAGCAAATATGAGGAAAAAACAAGATCAAACAGGATACTGAAGTAGAAAATAAGATAACAAAAGAATACCCAGCAACCTTTTTCCACCTTCCTCCAGCTGAATACTAGAAGTCAGGCAGCACCCTTGGGAAATGATGTGCTCCCAGGAAACCTCCAGAGAACTACTATCAGCTTGCTCAGAGAAGTTCCCTTGACATCGTTGCCATTTGTACAATTGCTGTTTAGATCCCCTCGGACCAGTTGGAGTTATTATCTTTATCCTGAAAAGGGAATCAGAGAGCTTATGACTTGCATAATATTTAGCTATGACTAAAGGACTTAAAAGGAGTATTGATCCTCTTATTTAGATTTTCTACATCCCCAAATCACCTTGCCAAATCATATGCATAACCAAGGACACTAATTATTGGTGACTAGCAGTTGCCTACTCTTGGTATTTACCTTCAAAGATTCTGGCAGACCCATGTGACCTTCCAACTGAAAGAAAATCAATTGCTGCTAGGAGACAGTTTCTTCTAATCCCTTATGGTAAAGACACAAACAGAGAGAGAAAAGCTGAAAGATATTCTAGTCACGTGCAGTTTCAAGGATAGCTATAACAAATCCAAAGGACAGTTTACATTCTTTTGCTATACTAAATGATAGTCTAAAATTACCCTATATGATGAACTGAGGGTTAGAATTTTTTTTGAAAGACAATACATTTTGTTTTAATGGTATTTTTGACAGTTGTAATTGCAATCCAATGCCTATTTTGCATACTATATTCTTTACCCTTAAAAATTAGCAATCAAGCTTTAAGAAACTAGTGCCTGGGCTGGGTGTGGTGGTGCACGCCTGTAATCCCAGCACTCGGGAGGCTGAGGCAAGAGCATCATTGTGAATTCGAGGCCAGCCTGGGCTACAAAGTGAGCTCAAGGCCAGCCTGAACTGCATAGCAACACCCTGTCTCAAAAAGACAAAAAAGAAACTAGTGTCTGTACCAAAGCTTAAACCGTAGCTACATACTAAATTAAAGTGCTACTAGCAAGACTGCTGTCACCTCAAAACTTTCATATTGGTTCTAACTAATAATAAACAGCAATATAAGAGGCAGTTTCTTCTGAGAGACTGAAAAAAAATTGGCTAATTAATTCCCACAGCACCTCGCTGAAGTAATGTCATTATCTCTGTTTGCCCCTAGAGAAGCTGAGATAAGGACGCTGACTACACTGATGCGGAACACAATAAATTAGAGATAGAAATTAGCGTCACTTTGGTTTATAAAATGAGCAACTTGGATATTTTGGCCTTTTAGTAGCTTTTCAGTTCGGAATTATTCAAATTAAATTTTACTTTCATTAGAGCAACTAATGATATCCATGTATCTACCTTCATTTGAGTACCTAAATACTGTTAGATGAGCTGCCTTAATATTGTAAATCATGCGTTCAACAAATGCTCATTGAGCCTTGACTATGTGTCAGACACCCTGCTGAATGCTTTTACATCCTACCTCTGATAATCAGAGCAACCTTGCAAGAGGCACGCCATTATTCCAACTGCACAGCTGAGGATGCGGAGGGTCAGAAAATAGGCAGGTTTTGGTGACCTGGGTTCGATCCTCAGCAGCAAAACACAAGTTAAAATGAGAAGTTGGGTAGGCGGTGAAAATTTGAAGATTTGTATGAATAAGCCTGTAATAAATGCACAACAGAAATAAAACTTCGTGTTTTTAAAGGCATCTGAAGAGTTCCTGGATGTAAATTTCCCAAACCAACATGGCCTGACCCCTCTGATGCTGGCTGTGAGAGACGTGGACCTGTTTGAAAGTCTTGATATGTTAACCGTTTACAGACCTACGGAAGTGCTGTCTGAGCTCCTGAGGCACCACGCGTGAGTACAAGTGGTCAGTCAGTACGAGCTGAAAGTCATCCACTTCACAGTTATCCACAGAAATCACGGGGCAACCTGAATATATAGGATTTTTAAAAGTCCTATATATTAAACACATATGCATCATTATAAAAGTAACTTCACAACTGCAAAGCAATGTACAGATGTTAAAATTGGGCCAGTGATATAGCTCACTGGCACAGAGCCTGCCTGGTGAGCACAAGGTCCTGAGTTTGATTCCTGGTACCAGATACTAGCATTGGTTATTATTTCTAATATATTTGGCTCTTTGTTTTATTTGTTTAAATAATTACTGTTTTGGTAATTACTGGGAATGTCAAATAATTCTTGAATATGCAGCTATCTACCTCCAAGAAGTTATTACTAGTTATTTTGAATAACACTGTCAGTCTATTAAAAGAAACTTATACTGGTGATGTCCATTTATCTGAAAATGATTATCTACCCAATGTTTTTTAGGAGATGGGAGCTTAATGATTAACTTTTTCAAAAAAAAAAATAGGGTTAAGTGCGGTTTCCCATTAGTGTTACCTAGATTTCTTGTCATCACACATAAGACCAGATGGCCCAGCTCTCTCTCAGAATTTACATAAACGTTGTTTTGGAATAGAGAGAGAAAGACAGAGAGGATTTAAGAAAAAAAAGTATGGCCAAAGACACGCAACATTATAAAAGTATCAGAATTACAGATTAAAAATACATTTTTGAAGCTTTCTCAGACATTAGTATTAAGAAACTGCTGGGATGATTGTAAAGCAGATTGCTGAATAGATCCCCTACCCCGCCCTTACCCAGATGATATTCCATGGGTATGAACTGGAGTCCAGAATACAAGAGATCAAAGGCAGACAGGTAAACTGAAGTCCCAAACTGAGTAACTTGCCTAAGTCTACATATCAAAGTAGAGAAGCCCCAATTCTTGATCCTATATTATTTCTTTTGAATTATGACTTTTTTTTTTTTACAGTACTGAGGATTTAACCAATATTTTTGCCCTGAACTTCATCCCCGGCCCTTTACTTTTTATTTTGAGACAGGATTTCTCTAAGTCACTAAGCTGCCCATACTGGATTTGAACTTACAGTCCTCCTGCCTCGGCCAACCAGAATGCTGAGGTTGCAGGCCTGTGCTACCCTTTCCCCACTTGAATTAATGTAGATGCTGCAGAAAATATTGTTGCAGCTAATAAATAACACATCACCCTGTCTGTAGCAACCAAGGGGCTCATGTTGGAAGTGCTGTCAAAGGCTGGGGCAAGTAGGTGGTAAATTCCAGGCCAGGCTGGGCTACATAGAAACTTCAAGGTCAGCCTGGACTATGCAGCAAGGCTTGCCTCAAAAACAAAAAGAAAAAAGAGGTGTGTGTGGCGGGGGTTAGTATGGATTGAAAGGGTTTAGATCAACTTGTTCCTTGTCCTAAAAAATAACAGAGACAGTTCTTTCCCTCACTATAATCTGTTAATAGGATTCTCATTATTTACCCTTTGGATCTCTCTGAGCCAATATCAAAAACTGGGATTCACTATGACATAAAGAAGATAAGATGTTTGTGTCATTGGAAAGAGTCCTAAGATCGGCCAGTTGGGCTTAATGATTCCAGGGCAAGGGAAAGAGGAATGAAGTGATCATGTGGAAAGGGACCTTTAATGACTAGATAACTTACACAATCAAGAGCTTGTGAAAGAAGCAACTTTCTTTTGTTTTATTTTATTTTGTTGTGCTGGGGACAGAACCCAGGGCCTCAAGCATGCTGGGCAAGTGCTCTACAACTGACCTACACCCCAGCCCTGCCTTAATTTTTAAAGTGAGATTCTATGGCACTCCACCATTTTGAATGACAAAAGAGCTGGCTGTTTAAGTCAGCAGTTAACTAAGTTATTGGAAACTTAAAAAAAAAATCAAGCCAGCTGTTTGGAATGATAAAACAGTAGTTTAAGATTTTTTTTTATCATGATTTATGCACTACTAAATTATGAAAATTTTGGATCAAAGTTGGAAACAGTCTGCAAATCTTACAATGTGTTGGGAATGGTGGCAGGAATAAGATACAGAGAATATCTTTCTTATTTAAATTTTTGAAAAATTGTCACCCTCTATCTCATACATTTTTGGATTTTTTCTGTCTTGTGCATTTTGAAATCATTATTATCACCTCCCAATACATAAGATTATCTTTCATTTATTTGATATCAATGTTTTTTTCTCCAATACTGGCTTCCTTTTTTCAACAGATTTAAATTAAATAATCTTGAATGTTGACTCTGTTCTTCCTAGAGATCCTAAACTCTGTGATTTTAGTGGAAAATCAACAATACATTATGTGTCACAAATAAAGAGTATGAGGAAGCAGAAGTTATTGGACATCTTGATGAATTCTATACCAAAGCCAGGTAAACATTTCATCTCCACCTGCATAATTCCCCAACTAAAAAAGGCCTTTTAGAAGTCTTTCTACCTCGGCTTGGTAGATCTACTCTAAAGGGAGCAAACTAACAACTACTCACCAATCGGTGACTGTACCAGGTCCACGACTACATGCTGTGGGGATGCAAATGTTCCAAACTCTTGAGAGTGAACAGAAAGGCAGGAAGTGAGGATGCCTGGGGGCACCGATGCCTGAGGATCACGGGTGCCCTGAGGTATCCATCCAGGAGTTCAGAGCTGAATGTGCTGTTCGGAGGTGGGGCCTGATTGGACGTGGATCACTGGGGTCATGACCTGGAAGGGTGTTCCTCTCTCCCCAGCTCCCCACTCCTCCGCTTCCTGTCTGCCATGGGATGAGCTCTGCTCCTCCACCCAGACCCTTTTTGTCATGTGTTTCTGCCTTGGAGCCTGCCAGCCATGGACTGAACCCTGAGCTAAGGTAAACCTCTTCTTTAAGTCGTGGGTGTCTGATACTGTGTCTTAGTTATGGGAAAGGAACTAAGACACTTACCGAGAGTCAGCTTTTGGTTCAACATAAATCAGTTCAGCTCGTACTTGACAGTATAGCTCCACTGCAGCAACACTGTGGGGTGCTGGGACATGAGGAAGAGTTTTTCACCTCTGAAACCATCAAGAGCTGTTCAGGGTTGAGGAGCCCTCTTCTTCAGAGGTCCACACACATCTGTCCTTCACCTTTCCTGCGGATGACCTCTCACACAGGCATATCCCTTAATTCAGAAGAGAGAGCCTGCTTTGCCTTTGAAAGGGAAGAAGACTTCTGGTTGTTACTCGAAACTGGGTAAGATATGGCAAGGTCTGACACAGATGGGGATAAACGTCTGAGCAAAGCATAAACAGATGCGGAACAGGGTGCAATGGAAAGCACACTTCCGCAACCTGTGACTTTGTGAAAACTGCTTGATTTTAGGGTTTGATTTGAGTTTTTGTTGGGAGCTTCTGGAACAGGGGAAAAAGCTATAGCTAAGCAGGCCTTACGCAGGAGGTGAGACTCAGTCTGATCCTGGAAACAAGGAGCAGATTTGATTTTGTGGGGAAGAGGAACTACGCTGTGAGTAAGCATGGCTTTCCCCAGGGGCAAATAGAAGACTGAATACAAAATGCATGTCACAGAAAAAAAGAAATAAAAGATTGGATACATAAAGAAACTGGATCTGAGCTGAAGAACGCAACTTTTAAATGATAAAATAGCATCCCCAAAGAATTTTAGGTCAGAGATGATGAAAACCATGTTTTATAAGAAAATTAACCATTTTATATTACATTGGATGGATTTGAAGGAGAAAGACAGCTCTCTATTTTAAAAACTAGAAAGTGCTCAGAAGTGTGGCAATAAGGACCAGAAAAAGAGCTGTTGGATGGGGCATGGTGGTGGCGCCGAGAGGTTGCAGCTACCGTGAGTGCAAGAGACACTGTGAATGAACAAGTCACAGATGTAAGGGTGGCAGAGGAGACACAGAAACAAAAGCTGAGAGTTCAGTTAAGCTGATTTACGTTTCCATCCTAGCAAGTGCAGAGGGGGAAATGTAACCAACAAAACAGAGAGTGTTGCAAGGTTGATCATGAAGACAAACTTGCAGAGGGATGAACAAAGGAGGAGCACGCAGTTGGAGTTGGTGTGTATGTCTGGACTCAGGACTGAAAGAGGGAGGAAGAAAGTCAGGAAAGAGTTGCAAGAAGGACGGAACAGGAAACAACGTCAGGTTGGAGAAGAGTTACAAGGCAGTGTAGGAAGGAAACAAGAGGCTTCAATGCGAGCATGGAGGCAGAAGAGAGACTGCAAAGAATAAGAAGAGGGGGAAATATGGTGAGGAAATTGATGGTCTCAGTATAGGTCACCTGTCCAACTTTGTTTCTGTTACAAGCTAAATGGAAAAGGATCTTTTCATGGAAAGATCCCATGCTTTTTTCCACCTACTTAATTTTATTTTTGAGTCAGGGTCTCACTAAGTTGTCTAGGCTGGTCTTGAACTCATGATCCTCCTGCCTCAGCCTCCCATGTACTGATTATAGTCATGTGCTACCACACACTGCCTGTTCCATGTTTTCTTGAAGAAGTCAGGGTGGGGTAGTGGAGTTATACATATGAGAGCAATGTTCCTTGGGAACTAACTGGGTGCCTCGACTTGGTGTTCAGAACTCCATTAATTTATTAGCAACTTTGCCTAAAAAAAAAAACCCCAGTTAAACCCATACGTTTGAAGAGGTAACAGCTGATCACTAATTTGCTTAGCTTCATAATATCTCTTTTTTCATTCACTAAAGAATAAAGACTGTGTGATCTAAATTTATGTGTGTGCATGTGTGCGTGTGTGCGTGTGTGTGTGTGTGTTACTGGTGATTGAACCTGGGCCTTCACACTGAGCTGTAAGTCACTAAGTTGCTCAGGCTGGGCTTGAATTTATAATCTCTTTGCACACCCAACTCTGTAATCTGAATTTTTAAAATTACTGGATGGTCTGCAGGTCCCTATTGTACTCTGATTTTACTTGCTAGCCATAATGTGCTGATATCATCCTCACTTTCTGCAGTGTTTTTTTTTTTTTCAATCACCCACAAATGGAAGTCTGTGTGAGAGGTCATCCGCAGGAAAGGTGAAGGACAGATGTCCTTCCTGTGTGTGGACCTCAGAAGAAGAGGGCTCCTTAACTCTGAACAGCTCTTGATGGTTTCAGTGGTGAAAGACTCTTCCTCATGTCCCAGCACCCCACAGTGTTGCTGCAGTGGAGCTATACCATTAAGTACGAGCTGAACTGATTTATGTTGAACCAAAAGCTGACTCTTGGTAAGTGTCTTAGTTCCTTTCCCATAACTGAGACACAGTATCAGACACCCACGACTTAAAGAAGAGGTTTACCTTAGCTCAGGGTTCAGTCCATGGCTGGCAGGCTCCAAGGCAGAAACACATGACAAAAAGGGTCTGGGTGGAGGAGCAGAGCTCATCCCATGGCAGACAGGAAGCGGAGGAGTGGGGAGCTGGGGAGAGAGGAACACCCTTCCAGGTCATGACCCCAGTGATCCACGTCCAATCAGGCCCCACCTCCGAACAGCACATTCAGCTCTGAATGCATGGAAGGATGCATCAGTGCCCCATGATGCAATTATTCTCCATACTTGTGAGGCTTTTGGGGGACATTCAAGATTTAGATCATAGCAATAGCTTTTAATTCTTTGTAGCATTTAAGATTTAGGAAGTGCCTAGTACTGACTGATTGAATTTTAACTCAAATATTCCACTTGCTCAGAATCTCAACATACCTGTTTATTTTTTTCTTCTTGAATAATAGCAGCCAAAGCCTTTAAAATTTTAAAAACAACCTATTCTTTGGATTCTTGTTGTTTTCACCTCTCTTCCAGTAAAAATTATTGAAGCTTCATCAAGATCCTAGACTATTAGCCAGGCACGGTAGCACATGCCTATAATCCCAGCACTGGGGAGGCTGAGGCAAGAGGATGACTGCAAGTTCGAGGCCAGCTTGTGCTACATGAATTCAAGGCCAGCCTGAACTACATAACAAGACCCAGTCTCAAAAGACAAAAAATAAAAAAGATACTAGTTGTTTTTAAAAAAGATACTAGTGGTAGTGAACCTATGGCAGGTGTGTCCCAGTGGGCTGTTTATATAGTAGAAAATTCTAAAAGTTTCACCCTTGCTGTCCTAGACCATTATTAGAAAAAGAAACCTGACAAAATGGAGCTGAATTTAAAACCTAGAGCTAGATATTCCTGTGAAACTTTTGAAAATGAATCTTATCAAAACATGATATTATGTTTCTTCTTGACAGAAAGACATGCTGAATCATTGCTTGACATTTGTCATGATATAAACCCTTCTCCAACTGATATGATGACAGGTACCAAAAATCAAAACATAATCCTGCAGAGCATCAGCACCAGCGAGGTAAGACGCTTCCTTTACAGAAACAAACTAAACAAAACAAAACAAAAGCAGATAACCTGGTCCATCTACCACTTCACTTGTGTTGCTTGAATATTTTGTGGTAATCATATATTACAACTGGAATTTTAGTGTAATCATTACAAAATGTAAAGCACAGTTAGTAAGACACTTTTCTCAGAATTTACTGAGAGTTGCAATTAGCTAGTCAACTTTGAGTCCCACACAGTGTGTGCGTGTTTGTGTGTGTGTGTGTGTGTGCACGTGTGTTAGTCTAGCTTGCTATGAAGGAGTACTAGAGCTGATAAACAATAGAAGTTTATTTCTCACAGTTCTGAACACTGGAAGTCTAAGATGAGAGTGTCAGCATGGCTAGGGTCCAGAGAGGGGAGAATGCCAGCCCTCGTTGTATTCTTCTGTGGTGGAGAGGGAGTTAGCTCTCTGGGGTCTCTTGCATGAGGCGCTAAGTTCACCATGAAGCTCTGTCCTCATCACCGAATCCCGCTCCCTACCACCATCATTTTGGGAGTTAGGATATCAAAGTCTGTATCTTGATAATACACAAATATAGTATTCACCCATAACTCTGTGTGTG